GCTCATGCCCTTGCCGTTGCCGTACATGCGCCCCATTGCGTCCTTTTTTGTCTTTTTTATTCTATTTATTTAAATTAAATGCAAAATTCCACCAATTGGGAATCCCAATGCGCAAAAAACCCCAGAGCCAGCGGCAAAACGAAGGACCGACTCGCCCCGCCGCCCCACGTGCTCCCAGCCCCAGCCCCTGCAGCAGCAGCAGCAGCAGCAGCAGCAGCGGCTGCTGCTGCTGCTGCTCTTCTCGCTCCTTATTTATTTAAATCTATCTGAAGTGCTTTTATTTATGTTTTAAAAGATATATAATTTAATATTTTTGGCCAAGTTGATCCATAAATATTAGAATTCCACGTATAAACCGGAAACGCCCAAAGCCCCACCCGGCCCCGCGAATGCGCTGTGGCTTCAGCAGCAATTCAAATTCTTATATAGCTAGCTACAGCTAGCTGTAGCTAGCTATGGCTAGCTGTGGCTAGCTGGAGCTATCTATGGCTAGCTGTAGCTAGCTGCGGCAGCGCAGCAGCAGCTAGCAGCAGAACTTGGGAAGAAATGCGAAGGCACAGAATTTCTCAAATGGAAATAAAGCAGCAAATACAATTGTTTTGTTTTAAATAATTAACTTTCTTAATTTTGAATTAAAATATAAAGATGATTCTAAAAATTATAATTAAAAAATAATTATAATAAATATGTTTTTAATTTGGGGTTTTCTGGCCTTTTAGATTTGCAGCCAGCTCCATATAAAATCCGTAACTTCACACTTCATATTCGCATTCAGCAGCAACAGCAGCAGCAGCAGCAGCAGCAGCAGCAGCTGCAGCAGCAGCAGCCACACCGGCCCTGCGGGCCAGAGCCTGAAGCTCTTTTCCTGTATATTTACTTTCCTTTTTAAAATTAAAATTGTTTTTGGATTTCCTTTAAAACAAAAGTCATTTAATTTAAAAATCTTTTTTCAGCTAATCAGTGCATTTAAACTTCTACTTAAACTTCTTTAAAATGGCCAATAAATTTATATTTCCATTTAATTGAATTTCTGATTCTTTTGTAGGCACAGCAGCAGCACTTTATTTTATTTTGTTCTATTTTATTTTACTTTCATTTTATTTTATTTTATTTTACTCTATGTTATTTTGTGTTTCGCTTTTTATTTGCTTCGTGTTACTTCATTTTTACTTATGTCGTTTTATTTTTTTTCGCTTTTTTTTGTTGCACCATCCAGTGGCAGCTAGCTAGCCGTCGGCCAGCTAGCTAGCAGCCAGCTAGCCAGCTAGCTACCGGCCAGCTAGCCAGCTAGCTAGCAGCCAGCTAGCCAGCTAGCTAGCAGCCAGCTAGCTACCAACCAAGCAACTAGCTAGCCACCAGCTAGCCACGAAGCCCCAGCTAGCCGCCGGTAAGCTAGCTGCTACGCCTCAGCTAGCCACAGGCCAGCTAGCTACCTCTCAGCTAGCTAGCTGCTCTTAAGATGGCTAGCTAGCCCTCGGCTAGCTAGCCAACTCCCAGCTAGCTGGCTACCCCTCAGCTAGCTATCTACCCTTCAGCTGGCTAGCTATTCGTCAGCTAGCTAGCTATTCGTCAGCTAGCTAGCTACTCATTAGCTAGCCACCACACCTCAGCTAGCTAGCTATGTACAACTCCACGGCTAGCTAGCTAGTTACAACTCCACAGCTAGCTAGCTACGCACCAGCTAGCCAGCTACGCACCAGCTAGCTAGCTAGCTAGCTATCAGCTAGCTAGCTGAGCTAGCTAGCGACCAGCTAGCTAATATTCTTCAGCCAGCAAGTCTTTGGACGAAAAGTGCTGGGGTTCGGGTGGGGAGAAAGCAAAAGATAGTTTGCTGCTGTTCTTTCGCTGCTGCTATTTCGCTGCTGCTGTTCTGCTGCTGCTCTTTTGCTGCTGCTCTTCAGCTGCTGCTCTTTTGCTGCTGCTCTTTTGCTGCTGCTCTTTTGCTGCTGCATTAAAGGCCTGGTAAGCTCCAGGGAAATCCCCAAAAGAGAAAACGCAGTTTTCAATTTTGCTGCGTTAAGAGCTACTAGGCGCAGCGGCCTGAGGCTTCGCCGCTGCTGCTGCTGCTGCTGGTGCTGCTGCTGCTGGTGCTGCTGCTGCTGGTGCTGCTGCTGGCGCTGCTGCTGCTGCTTCTGCTGCTGCTGCTTCTTGCTTCCGCAGCGCCTCCTGCAGCAGCAAACGCTTCTGCTCGTCTTCTAAAGACTCCGGAGTGTCCGGATCGTCAGTGTCTTCCGCTTCTTCTTCTCCGTCTTGCGTTTCTGCTGTTGCGCTGTCATCTGTTGCTCCTGAGTGGAAGCAGCAAAAGAAAATTCAACAAACCGCTTCCTCAAACCCTAAACCCTAAACCCTAAACCCTAAACCCTGGCCCTTCAGGCAAAAGCCCCGAACATTTGGCCCGAAACCGAAACCGAAACCCCGAACGCTGCACCCAAGACCCTGATCCCAAGCCCAAACCCTAAGCCCTGAATCCCAAACCCTAAACCCTAAACCCTAAACCCTA